CTTTAAATTATGCTGCTGCATCCCAAACTATTCTGCACTTTGCGGGCTTATTCCTGTTAAATACTGGAAAAATTGGTAAATCCCAAATATTTTCATGTTTGCTTGAGATTGAGATCTTGCTAATGAAACCTTTTGTAGCGTATTGTGATAAGGTTTTCAAAAATATTTCAAAGAGCTCATGATTTTTCTGTAATTTATTTTCAAGACAAACTAGTCTTCTTTTCGCCAATTCGTAGTCTCTTTCCGTACATTCGCATACATGCATGTTGTAAGATTTTGGGTTATCTTTGCAGCAAGGCCCGAAAATTGTCCAACCAAGCGATGTTTTTATGGCTACTGGTTCTTTCATACCACCTTCTTTTACCCTCTGTGAAATCGTAAGATTTACATTATTCAGGCCAATCAATATTCTAGGCTTAGCATCGGAATAACTTTCCACTGGAAGATCTCTTAAATATGTAAATTCACTACACAGCAACTCATAGTCAAGAGTTTGGCTTGGCAACATTAGTTCTTTTACAGAGCGTAAATCCAACGAGAATGTTATATTATTTGTACCACTTACTTTGACATTTAATCGTTGTGAGTTGTGCTCGGTTCTTTTTATATTTGCTGTTCAGGTCATACACAATTGATCCATCTCTCCTTTTAGTTCTAATCGTTCTAAAATGTCTTCTTCAATTAGACTTACCGATGAGCCATCATCTAACAAAGCATGTGTTGATACAACGTTGTTGTTGTTGTTTCCATAGATTTTTATTGGTATGATTTTAAAGAGAATCCTCTGTTTACCTATGCTATGGGAGTTAACAGTATGCTCACTGTTAATTTCAATTTTCTCATTTGGCGTTGTTCCCCTATCTCCAGACTGTATGTTAGGGTTCGTATGTGTCAGTCATCAACAATACACATTTTGTTTTTGTTATATCAAACACCGCAGTGCCTCTTTAAGCAATGTTTGCATAATTGTAGATTTTTTACGAATTCCCATTTCGCCTTTCGATCAGCTGAGACAAATCCTTTGCATTTCGCTATGTTATCGCACTCTCCTTCACATACTAAACATTCCTTTCTCCTCGTCTCTACGTGGGTAAGTATAAAGGAATTTTTTTCTTTACGAATAAGTGAAGAAGGGGAAGGGGGCGTAAATGCATTACCTATGTTTACCGTACTTGTTGATAATCCAATATGAAATATCCATGCAGAAAACTCTATCTCGATCAGCATTTGTTTTACGGACTCCAGTGCGTCCCCTCGAAGTGCTCGCTGTAATCTTATGAGGTTCTCGGCGTCTGTCAAGCCGTAAACAGATCTAGACCAGTCATAAGTAGAACTAAATAATGGCCATTCCTCCGGTGAGCCAGAGAATACAGGCAGTTCTTTAGTACGATTTGACGGGTTTGCACTTGCAGGTGTAAGCCTTCGATAAGTGGATGGTTGTTGCTCTGCAAAGCTTGGCTGTGGAGCATTGTCCGTCGGCCCAGAGTTTATGAACGATTGTTGTTTGATTCTGATTTGTATTATTTTGATAGCTGGTTAAATGTGGGCTCAGTGAAACGGGATGTATGAAAAGTATTTGAATCATGAGCACTGCTGGAAAACCTGTAAGATTGATTGCTTGTCATAAGAGACACGGTGTGTGACATTACTGGAACACAAATCGACGTATTGATTGAGGTTAGGTTACCCATGTTATGTTGAACATCATCATCATTTATTGTTCTTGGTTCGGCCGTTATCTGTATATTTGTTGCTGATAATGGTAAATCTTCATTATCCATTGTTTCCTGAAGCAACTGATATTTTTAACCAGATATTCGTGTTCACGTTTTTTTGCTAGTTCTCTCTCCTCATCTAAGCGTCTTAACGCAAGAGCGCGTTTGCTGCTTGCAGAGTTGAGCCCCACGATGACTCTGTACCATCAATGGACCGACAGTATTTTGTGGAATTTTGGGTGCACGAGGCACACGCAAATTTTTCTGCTGGGTTAGAAACTTTGCTGCACGATTCGTGCACGATTTGCAGTTATGGCAGCATAGAATATTACTGTTGATACTTTCGTGGCAAAGATCACATGTTGGTGGCAATACATCATTGGTGACGTAGAGGTTATGTAGTTCGACCTGATGAGAGGGAGAATCCATATTATTACTTACGTGTGGCTACTGTTGAGGTTATGCTGTTATTGGTTTAGCGGATAGGTCTATCGTCCAAATCCAATCTTGTCAAATTTGCGACGTCTGCAACTCCTCGTCCTTAGTAAGTCACCGCAAAATCAATTAAAAATTGGTTCAGAATATATGTCCCCTGATGATTTGAATTAATTCGCCAACACTGGTCAGTTTATTGAAAAACGTTTATTTCTTACTGCCAAATAGTGACGCAACCATATGTTTTAATTCCTAAGGTAATTCATTTAATTTTAATTGAGAAAATACATATATGATACATACAAATTATAAGGTTGTACGTACATTTTGGTTTCAAACCATTAGCTGTAATTAATTCTTATTGCAGTATGTTAACTGCCTAACGAACTAATGTAAAAGAAAGAGCTAGCTTAAGCCCTCAAAATCTAACTTCTAATTTTAGAATTTAGTACAAAAGGAATAAAGTGGAATGAAGGATATAGCAATAATTATGAATAATCGATACATGTCATCGAATTTACTTAAAACAATACTTCAAATTATTCGTGTTGGTTACTAAATGACGTGATGTGTGTTGATAGCCAGTGGCGGTAACACTATAATTTAAAAAAAAAAATCGAAAAATTAAAAAGTCTGAAATTCTTATTGTCTATTAGGTCCATATATTCTGAAAGTACTCCTTCTCCTACTTTTCAGGAAATTCAGTATTATTGTTACATATGATTTTAATTAAAAAGTTTTCTGTCAGTGCATGTCTACTATACACACTCACTATTTTTCGAAATTCGAATTGAGTTTGTTAGATATTATTTGAGTTGTACATTTGCTCCCACTGAGTGAAAAGCTCTTAAAGCTTTTACAAGTAACCAAATCATTTAAAAAGAATTGTTCCTAAAGTAAAGCAGAGTCGAATAGGAGAGCGAGAGAGAGAGCATGATCCTGGCGTAAAGTTTGTGTAAGAGGATAGATGTAATGTGGAAAAGAACTATGTGAGCGCTCCCAAAACGTGAACGTTACTACTACATCTCTCTCTCTCTCTCTCTCTCTCTCTCTCTCCTTATCAACTCTTTCTGAACCGAAGAAAAATTGCATAGGAGGTTCGTGTCTTTGCTAATTAAATTTAAATATATCATAACAGACTTTAGGAATGTTTATTTATATCTATCGAATCCCAGCATGGAGGTTGCTGGGAAAGGCTCAAATACATTAAGAGCAGAAAAAACTCGACTTACAACATTACGCAGCGTATTTATTGAAGCTGAGAATATTATAATTAGCCAACCATTGATAGAGATCGCATATCTTGTGAATACGATGAACCCATAACTTCCTTTTAGGTTGTCTAATTGCCACTCAGAATCCAAGTGATGCGATATCTGCAAAAGGAATGGTAAATCGCACACAATTTGAAGGATCGTTTGTGAAAACCTGGGTCGTTGAATTTTTCTTTCTTAGCTCAAAGACCAAAAAGGGGGAGCAAAAATTTCAACCTATCAAATCACTACAGTCAATTGGCAAAGGGGCGAGTTGTGAAGGTTTACTTATCGAAGGATACTCAAATTCGAATTTCAGATGTAAAGCATCTATCGGAGTTGTTTGTCGAAAGTATTCCACCCACAATTAAAAAAAAAAATTAAGGCCTTTAAATTTAAAATACGAAAATAACCACTAAATTGCGAACATTATTAATCCCAGTTAAATAACAAATACATTAAAATGTCACTTCTGATCATTACTGATAGTCAAGATATCGGATATATAGCAACATAGGTAAAATCTATATGTAAAAGAAATTTATGTTTATGTCATTTTGACAATTTTCACTAACTCATCCTTGCCAGAAAAGGAAAAAATCGCGTAAAAATAGGCAATAAAAAAGAGAGTATTTTTTGTAATATGTTTTTAATTTTTTTTGACATATTTTTTATCGCATGATATTTATTCAATTTGTTGGGGTATTATGTGTTGAGGGTATTATATTCTCGTCCAATCTTCACGAAATGTTCCATGGGGGAAGGTTTAGAGTCAGAATTGAAGCCTGTTGTTGTTTTTAAAGATGTATATTAAAATTTTCCTGATTTTGCAGGAACTTAATTGTTCCAACCAATAGACCCGGAATTTAGCATGAAGAGTTAAAGTTAAGGACAGCATGTTGGATGATCATTGTATTATATTTAATGTATAACCGGAATTTTTTTAACTTTCGTGTGAAATTTTTTGAGAGCGTAAATATAGGGAAATATCCTCCGGTCTACCAAATGGATTTAGAACTAAGGGGCTTCCTACATATTGTAGGTGTTGTAGGGTATCTCATGGATGTATAAAATAGAATTGTGTAAATTACCAGCTCTGAGTGAATTAAAACTGAGTTTAAATCATAAGCAACCGTCAAACCATCCACTTGATTTCTGTTGGTCTCTTAACAGGATTCTTGTGTATAATAAAGGCTATGTCTTCAGCTAAGAGTATTGCGAGAGTTCTATTTTTGTGAGCATGTCGGCAGAAAATGTCACGTAGAGAATAGTACCAGGAGGTTGTAAACCGCAGGGCTCAATAAAATAAATAACTACCTAACAATTTATCAATGTTTGGCGTTTTCAAGTCATTCTGGCCAAGTGTAAGGAGAAACGTTCACGGAACGTTGGGTGTTGCGCCGACGTAGTCAGGGAGTTCAGGGGAGCCCATACTCCCCACAAAATGATAATTTTTTAATATTTTTTGAGCACTTTGCTTAAAATTTTTTTTGTCTGCATGCGTCGGTTGTGTGTGGTATATATATGTCTTCCGTTTCTCATCGCAAATTGTCTCGAAATAAAAACAATGACTCTTATTTTTTATATTTCATTTCAGGAAAGAAGAACAAGAAATCCAAGGGAACTGTTTTATCACTGCAGTCATTTTTATCTGATGGAGATCAGCCACCTTTGGGTACAACTCAAGTTGCAAAAAATTTACGAAATATAGATGGAGAAGACAGCGACGATGACGGGAACGTTCTGACTTTAGTCTGTCAACTTCCTACAGCACCACGTGCAAGTAGAGGTTTTGATCATAGCAATGTTCCCTATAAACCCCCCTTTATAGCTTATGTAACTAATTTGCCCTTTGACACAACTGATGATGATGTATACGCATTCTTTAATAATATTAACATAATTTCCGTGCGTCTTCCAAGAGAAGATGGAGAATCCGGAAGACTTCGAGGATACGGGTATATAGAATTCGAAACAAGAGATGATTTAATTCAAGCTCTAAGTTTACCAGATCCTTCCATTAAAGGGCGTCGAATAAGAATTGAGTTGTCTAATGAAAGTGACCATAATTCCAAACAAGGAACAAGAAAAAATTATGAAACATGTAGTGATGAAGACAATAAAGATTGGAGGCGTCAAAAACTCAGAAATGATTTTAATGATAAAGGAACCTCAACACAAAACTCTTCTGGAATTGGAAGTTCTTGGCGCTCTCAAAATATTTCCGGCAGAAGTGGAAGTTCAACATCGTTTTACTCTGAGAATAAAAACAACACAATAATGGAGCGCCCACGTCTAAACTTGAAACCTCGTACACTACCACTGCCCGAAAAAGACATGATTTCAAACAAAATTGAATTGAACGTTAATGAAAATAAATCTACCGAAAAAATATTTGGTTGCGCAAAACCAGTTGATACTACCGCAAGAGACCTAGAAATTGACAAGCGCTTGTCTGAAATACGAATGCAGGAAACTAAACATATGGGATCTAATGTGATTAAGAGTGTGGAAAAGATGAATGTTGAAAATTCGGCTAAAAATGAATGTACAGATATGAATTGGAGAAAGGGTCGAACAAATGAGGAAGCACATGAAGATAAGAAAGGTACGCATAAATATACATACATTTTAATCTAGGTTCAAATTAGATAATTAATAATAATTTAAATATAGACTCATATGACACCACCAATAATTCTGTCGGAACAAACTTTCTACAAATATTTAACGAATACATATTTATTAAATTAAATTTAAAACAAGTATGCAAAGGCTATAGTCGTGCCCCTTAGGTCCAAATACATTTTGTTAGATTACGTATTTTGAATGCTATACAGCCTTGTTCACACAAAACTTGTGGTTAATTTTAACCACATAGAGGTCGAAGGAAAGCCACTGTTTGGTGCTGATTATGGCGATTTTTCTTCGAAAATTAGTCCGATTGTGTATGCTAATACATGACCAGCCGAGGCAGCCATTTGAAATTATTTTTCTTAATTAACTTGATCCATAACCTTTCCGGTTATTTATGGAAAATGGCTGCCTCGGCTGGCCACGTAGTATTCAATATTATTCATTTATTTATTTATATTAATTTAGTGAATATAATATTAATATAATAATAATACTAAAGGATATGATATTTTAGATTTTTTAAAATAAATAAATATTTTTGATGTTGTCCGTGCGCATTCCCATGTCAATTTTCTTGAGAAAGGCTTGTTACATAAGTCGGAGACAGTTATATGATTTTAAAATGTGTTGGACTGTGTTCATTTGCCGCATTTAGCACATTTGTTGTCTAAATTTTTATTTCGCAGATGTTGATGTGTGCGTATTATATGTCCCATCCGTAGGCGGTAAAATATACGAATTTGTATCTTGTCAACGTCGGTAGGATAAAGATGTTGCGCAAGGTGTATTTATAAGGTGTATGCATCAGCTACAACAACTAATATTTTACAATAAGAAAATTTTTGTTTTAAAAACTATTAAGTCAATATGGCAATTGAATTTGCCAAAAACAAATAATAATAACAAAAACAAATTATCTTCCTTAAAAATATTCTCTAAAAAGAAACGCTGCAAATGTATTATTTTTTTTTGGGCAGGTTAATATATTACTACGCCCTGAGACAAAAAATATCCCCTTGAAGAGAATATGCGTGAAATATTTAACCAGGCCATCATATACAAGATGTGAAAACAAACGTCCCAGCAAGAGCACGGCAAGTGCTTAGGTCGTGAGAAGAAGGAACATTGCATACTCGTAATATAGAAAACTTAGGCAAGGAAATCTTTGCATCTGATTTAGACTAATCCATTATGCCAGTAATGATGCTATAACATGCATTATACAATTATCTCTTTTATGCTGAGGACGTATATGTCATCTAAATTTTGATATAACGTTTGATGATTGAACGGCTGTTATATAAGGGTATTTGGAAAATAACATCAGACAATGGGAATCCTTTTGGAATTTCATTTTCTAAGCTGAAGGTTTTGTAATGATGGTTATTGATTGAATGTTCGTCCATATAAATATGATTGTATGAAGTTCAGAACTTTACATATATCGGTCTATATCCAGAAAAGTCAGTTCTGCTTCTATAAGGTTTTTAGAATCGCAGGAACTATTGTAGTTGTTCATGGATATGATATTGTGCCGGTATTATATATAATATTGTATAACTCAAGCAGCTTATAACATATTTTAGTACAATGGTTCTGGATCATAATATAGGAAATTCTATCGCGTCTGAGTGTTATTTCTTTTACTTTATTAAGACCAAGAAATAATTGTGCATTTGTTATACTATTTTGCGTTGAAGTATCGTTCACAAACATTGATCTTAGTTGAGCAGAATTTAGGTGGGAAGTTAGTTTAAGACTATCTCTTGGGGATCTGTAACCGTTCCTTTATTGGTATTGATTGCAGAAATGACACAATTATTATCAGTTTTTTTTGGTAGTCGAACAAATTACGGGGGAGAATTTCTTGACATGTTTTTGTTATTTAATAAAACATGTCATTTATGTTTTCTAATTTTCCAATTTTTAACGTTTGCTTTTTTTTTGTACATTATCAATTTATCTTGGTCAGCATATTTTCAAACTTCCTATCTTCTTCTTTATTTGAATTCCGAATATAAGCGACCAATACAATTATATATCATTATTTGTTACAATTTTTAAGGCACATTCATATATTATATGTTATCTCCATAAAAGCTTCTCTATTTCTGGCTTCTCTCAGTAGGAATGAGAAATTTCCAATGCCGGTCCATTTTAGGATATTATGATATGAAGTTTTTCTTCTTTTTATTGTTGTAATGAGTTCACGTTCACGATTAACCCTTGTCAGAATTACTGAATTGGGTATTGGGATTTTTAGGATGCGTTGATAAATCCACGTTTCAAAAGATTCCAGTTCACTTTAGCGTCCATACTTCTGATGCGTACAGCAAACAAATCGACATTTTTGTTTCCATGTTTATGTCATGACTGCATGATACATTGTTGTATTTTGAAAATGTATCTCTCGCCATTTCTATTCTACATCGTATTTCTTTTGTGTTATCCCAGTTTTCATTTATTTTGACGCCGAGAAATTTGAAGGTCTGTACTCTATCTATATGTATTTTATTGATCGAACAGTGTGGCTTGTTTGTTCGGGATACCGTAGTATTTTGTTGTTGCAAAATGGTCTGGCTTTATCCCTTTATTGTTGTTTTTATAAACAAACAAGCCACACTGTTCTATTAATAGACAAGGCACGGTCGACGAAGGGGTTTTTGTTGTAACATACAAAACCAACTTACATGGTTATGCTACTTCGTTCAGGCTGAACGAAAGCATAACAAGTGGAGAAAGATGTAAATGTTTATAAGTGCGGTTGTAAGATTTAGAAGACTTTCAAAGAGAATTTTAGTTTTATTTAATTCTTTGGTTCCTCTTCTATTGAGCTTACGATCTCGTCACTTGGGTAAAAAAAAAAAAAATGTTTTTTGTCATAGAAGTTATTTTTAAAATAACTTCTGGGGAGAATATCCCAGACAAAAACAAGGGAACTGATGAGGATTGGTGGCTCTTTCCGAAACCTAGGTATTCCCTGCCTTACCCCCTGGTAAACATTACCATCGTTCTCCACTAATAAACAAACGTTGCTTTTATAAAAACAACAATAAAGGGATAAAGCCAGACCATTTTGCAACAACAAAATATTTTATTGATCTTTAACCCATACTTTTCGCTACAGATATTTAGACGAGTCAGAAGGAATTGTAATTCTGACAGGCTTCTTGCAAGTAATGTGGTTTCATTTGGGTATCTGATGTTGTTGACGAATGTTCCGCCAATATATATGCCTTTACGAACGTTAGAGACTGATTCCTGAAAACTTCTTTCGGTGTAAATATTAAATTGTAATGTAATGATAGTATGCAGTCCTGTCTAACTTCTCTCGATATTGCAATGGATTCTGTAAGTTCTCCATTAACGTCGACTTGTGCTGTTTGGTTCCAATATAGTTCCATGATGCATTGTTATTGTAGCAGCTCATACTGCTGTGTTCGATCTAACACTTCTCAATCGGGTTCTGCCACTCAGTCAAATCTCAAAAAGGATGCAACCTGTACGGGTTGGGTCCACAACGAGACTGGAGTTAGGTGAGTAGGTTTGGTTGGACAGCGAGAAAGGTACAGTGTGTCATTGGTCCTGTGCCACAAGCTGAGATGTTTTGCACATCGCTGTCGATCCGGGCCCAATAGGAATTGAGGCGGCTGCACCATCCGGATCTTTTTTGAGCCAAAACTACTCGGGTTTGTCGGGGCAGCTTCGCACTTCAGCTGCGATGGGAGGGGGATGGTCTCCTAATACAGTATTCACTCTTAACTCCTTCCATAACTTCTGAGACCGCGTTAGAGTGAATACTATTCAGTCCCGCTTGATAGGCCTGTTGATCTAGAGGCTCTCTCTTATACCTTTGTACCCTCTCTCAAGATCATGAAGATCTTTCCTTACGTGCCTGGGCGGAGGTTGCCTATCCGCCAGATGGTGATTCGGATGGCTCTGTTGGTAACATTCAGGCAAGTATTACATTGACAGAATTTTATTATGCTGTCGCACCAGTAAGACCTTCGCCTGCTCATGTAGGTGATCGATAGGTGTCATGAGGAGGCACACCGTTGTGGTTCTGAATATTTTTCCACTACGTAGCACTAACATTTGTAGCATATAACTGACGTAGAAATGGTCGGTGTTACTTATAGACAAACATTGTCGGCAACGCACGCTCTGCAACCGGCCTTATACCTCGTCGGAAGGGGGTTCGTAATACCGCTGTTGAACAATTACTATTTTTCTGCCACACGAAATAATACTTTTTTCTTTGCGTGCATGTATAGTTATGTGAAAGAAAGGACAAAATGAATAAGAAAAGGAAACGGAAAAGGGCTGATACATATGTTATCTAACATAACAGAGACGGAAACACCTTACTTTGATGACTGCAAGTTTGTAGAGATAGTTGGAGAAAATAGATTAAATAGGAAACGGATATCGATCAGAATGTTGTGTTGCAACTTAATGTGATGTTGCATGATATACCCTCCCAACCTGGTTGCAGACAGATAGTGCTCTTGAGTAGGCATTGATTGTGTCGCAAACCCTAACATGGTTACATCGAACTTTGCCTACGAAAAGGATAAGTCAAACAGATATGGCTTTAGAGTTTTGCCTTGTTAAGGCGAAGATCATATGTTTTATGATTTAAGTTTTTGTTTTCTCTTTCGAGACGAGCTTAACGATCTGAAATTTGCAGTGAACCAACGGCGAAACGCGTCGCATAGTGGTGAGTGTGTGATAGTGTCTATCTGGCTTTCCTTTTCACTGCAAATTTCAGATCGTTAAGCTCGTCTCGAAAGAGAAAACAAAAACTTAGATATGGCTTTAGTTTCTATTCATAACGCATTTTGTTGCTTTTATTTAATATAGACTTAAACATGGTTAAACAATTCAAAAATTGAGTTCAATTTAGAGGCATTTAAGAAAATAAAAAACTATTAGTAGACATTAAAATCTTAAACAGGGAGAAAACGAACT